CTCCCACCAACTGAAACAGCAAACAGACTCAATGATTTCTTCTCCACCATAGGAAAAAACCTTGCCAATAAAATCCCAAGCTCAAATACTCCACCCAATGACTACCTCACTGGCAACTACCCGAACACACTGTTAATAGCTCCGGCTAACCCAACATAAGTCTCCCTTATTATCAACACACTAAAAAAGACAGGAGATTTAAATACCTTACCACCCTTTATATACAAAAAAGCATCACAAGTGCTGTCACCAATCATTGCAACACTCTTTAACCCTTTGACTGTTTATGCCGTATAAATACGTCTTAAGCGCCACTGTTTCTGACGTATTTATACTCAATAATTCTAGCGGCTTCAAATCAAGCGGAAGAAAGCTGGTAGGCCCACATGTGAGAGAATGGGTCTGTGTGGTCAGTGTGCACCACATAAAAAAAATCCTGCAGCACACAGTGCATAATGAGAAAAAAAAACTGATCGTTTTTTTGGATTAAATCGCCGACTTTGAGGTGTATTTTCGTATAGTATTTATCGATGTATTTGCATTTTCATGGTCTTAGGTGATAAAATGGAAAACGTATTACAGAAATAGAGATGATTTTCATTGCTTTGACGATGAAAACGACCTTAAAACTGAGCTCAAAGTAGCAGAAATGTTCGATTTTTACCAATGTTCAGGAGTAAACAAATCACACCACACGTCCAATACACGTCAACTGGGGAGTCTAATATTCTTTCACTAGTGCACTGATATTATTTATACCATTTTTACAATAATGCAGTAGTCTGCATAACAGTAAATTTTGTATTTTTTTGTATGAATAAAAAATCAAAATAGAAAGCAATAATAATATAAGAGGGGCCTAGAGATGTGACTAATGAACAGAGGATATGTTATTTTAGTGCCAAGAATGTCTACCTTGTTTATTCTGGACCCTATTTTGAAATTGGCATCTTTTTTAGTTTGTGTGAAATTGGCCAAATTGCCAATTTCTGACCACCATAGTGGGTAGTCCAAATTGGTAAATGGGAGGTTTCTTGTACTCAGCTGATAGATAAAATGGAGTTCTAAAGAAATAGCTATGAGTTTGGTCAACTGGAACAACGGAATTGGCTGAAAATAGGGCTCAAAGTCGGCGAAATCGCCGATACGCATATGTCGCCGAGACCGCTAACTTCGCGGGAGCGTAATTCCATGAGTTTTCGACCAAATTTCGAACTTTTGGTGTCATTACCATCGGGAAAAGATTCTCTATCATTTCATAAGAAAAAATAATTTTTTTTTTTTCAAAAATTTATTGACATAGAATGAGTTTCAGAAAGGGGCCTGAAACAGTCAAAGGGTTAACAAATCCATCGAATCCTCTACCTTCCCTACAGTTCTCTAAACAGCGAGGGTCACCCCGATCCATAAAGGAGGAGACCAAACAGACTTGAATAACTATAGGCCAATATCCAACTTACACCCTCTCTCTAAAATCTTCGAAAAATTAATTCATAAGCGAATCTATTCCTACCTCATCTCCCACAACATACTCAACCCCTGTCAGTTTGGGTTCAGGCCTAATAAAAATACGAATGATGCTATTATACACATGATAGAACAAATATACACTGCACTAGAGAAAAAAGAAGTCCCACTGGGGATCTTCATTGACTTACGTAAAGCTTCTGATACAGTTGACCATGACTTGCTCCACATAAAATTGTCACACTATGGTATAAGAGGGCACTCCCTCAACTACCTAAAGTCATACCTCAGCAACAGAAGCCAATATGTGTACACAAATGGGGCAAACTCTTCCGCACAGCCAATTACAGTTGGTGTCCCACAGGGAAGTGTCCTTGGCCCTCTTCTCTTTCTCATTTACATAAATGACCTACCAAATGCATCGCAACTACTCAAACCCACACTATTTGCAGATGACACTACATACGTCTTCTCTCACCTGAGCCCAGTCATGCTAGCCAATACTGTGAATACCGAATTACAGACAATATCTACCTGGATGAGGACTAACAAACTTACTCTCAACATTCACAAAACCTACTTCATTCAATTTGGTAACAGAGCTACAGATGTCCCTCTTAACATAATGATAAACAGATCACCTATCACAAAGCTCACAGAGGGAAAATTCTTAGGAATCCACCTTGATAATAGACTCAAATTTCAAACACATATACGTACAACAAATTTCCAAGAAAATTTCCAAGACCGTAGACATACTATCGAAGATACGGTACTATGTTCCACAGTCAGCCTTCCTGGCCCTATACCACTCACTTATTTACCCCTATCTCACCTATGGAATTTGTGCATGGGGCTCAACAATAATAAACCATCTCAGACCATTAATTACCCAACAAAAGGCTGCAGTCAGAATAACAAATTCCCTCTACAGGCAGCACACTCCACCAATATTCAAAACACTAAACCTACTCACCATACAAAACATCCATACTTATTATTGTACCTACTACACTTAACTCGGATATAAACCCTCCCCTCAAACGTCTCCTTACCGACCTCAACAGAACACATGACCATAACACAAGGCACAGATCACTCTTTGATGTTCGTCGTGTCCATCTCACACTATGCAAAAACTCAATGCACATAAAAGGCCCAAAACTCTGGAATTCATTACCTGTGAATATAAAAGAAACACTGTTTATAAATTCAAGTCTCTTCTTAAAAATCACTTACTCACCCACAACCAAATAAATACTGAATAATTGTATCTCATAAATGTTTAACCTGTGACCCAATCAAACTTTGTTATTTTTAATTAATTACCTAACAGAATACTCCATTCTACTTAATGCACAGCAACACAGTAAATGACCATATGACCTGTCTTTGAAATACTCATTTGTGCTTAATTGTTATCTGTTTACAATAATGCTTTACCACTGAATATATCATTGCTTAGTTAATCTTAAGTTAATTTTAAGCCTGCCCATAATGCTCTGCATACAAGAGGCTTTGGCATGTTACACTTAACCACTGTATTTCTTTGTACTTCTATGTATCATGTTCAAATTAATAAATAAAATAAATAAATAAATATGATAATTGTATTTATGTTTATCTGTACCTGGAGTTTACCTGGAAACACAAACTTGCTTGCTTAACCTTCAGGTCTCTTTCTGATCTGGTTCATACTAAGACTGGTCTTGATATATTCAGACAATCTGTTCCATTCATTTATTTTAAGCCTGTCCATAATGCTCTGCATAAAAGGGGCTCTTGGCATGTACACACCCAACTACTATAATTCTTTGTACAACTATGTATCATGTCTAAATAAACTATTATTATTATTATTATTATTATTGTTGTATAATAAAACACACTTGAGGCCTGACTTCCTACTGTGGGTACTACAAATCTGTGTTCACTCTCCCTAGTACTATTTCAGCTTTGGTTCCTAAGTTTGACAAAATTTGCATCATGATATTCCAGACAGTACTTGTATGCAATTTTATACACATTATTTAACTTCAGCTGATTTACTGTATGTGCTACATTCAGCATATTCAGTTGTTGTAATTTATGGTAGCCTATATGCTCTCTTGGACTCTAGTCCAGGATAAATCTCAACATTTTCCTCTGGGTGATTTTTTGTCTTTCTTCTCATTTTTTTTTTTTTTGTTTGAGCAGAGCACTATGAAGGCCATGAATAATCCACATGATATTGCATAAAATCTAGACATAAGGTCCTGCGAGCCTCTGAAGGTAGACACCATGCCTGTCTATGGAGGAACTTTAACTTGGCATTGCTTTTTTTTTTAGTACAATGTTTACTATCAATTCTCCTGACATGCTTGAGTCAAAGGAGATTCCCAGATATTTCACGGAAAATACTGACGTGATGGGTTCCCTGTTACACCAGACATTAAAGGTACCTGTGGAAACATTAGGACGTCTTTCCTTAAAACACCTGCTCTCCATGTTCACCTATTAGTAAAATAAGTACCTGGGTGTTGTGGACTGGTGTGCGAGGTATCCTGAGCCAAAATTGACCAAATTTGCCTGAAATGCTCTGCCTAACAAGGGGCTTTCTATATAGTCGTATGTCACTGATGTCAGCTACGCCTGTATACCTTGAACATGTACTTGTAGAAATACAGATTATTATTATTTTTAGTTTACTTTCTTTGACACACAACATGGCTTCTGTTGTCGGAAGGATGTAGTAATAGTTTGTCTACTAACCATTAGCCATAACACTTAGTTCCAGTGATTGTACATTAATTAGTGGGTCTTTACCTGACACTAGCTGACCACTGTCATCTGCATACAATAAAAGTTTAGCAAGTTTATTCAGGGATACATAAATACAGTTACATATATATTATAATGTGTATATATATATATATATATATATATATATATATATATATATATATATATATATATATATATATATATATATATATATATATATGATATATATATATATATATATATATATATATATATATAATACATTAATAATATATATATATATATATATATATATATATATATATATATATATATTTATATATATATATATATATATATATATATATATATATATATATTATATATATATATATATATATATATTTATATTTATTTATTTCATATACTCTACTTCGTCAAAAGTCTAACATGTCAGCTGTTCATTTTAGCCATGTAGATAAATATTTAATCTTAAATCAGTTACATATAAACGAGTAACACATCAGATCATTTTTAATTTACTGAACTTTGAAATGACTCAATTTTTTGCCATTCTTAAAGTCATATGTTATATTGAGCCTTACTTGACTAGTAATAATGTACAATGCCTAGGCAGTTTATAATAGTTGTGCATAATGACAGCCCGTGTCATGTGGGAGTGAAAATTAAGTGTCAAAGGACACCCGTCCGTGCACACAAGAAAATTCAACAGCAAATCGGCCCGTATTGCGGGTTCAAGAAAGACCACAGTCGCCATCACTTACTGCTACTCTACTGCACTCTTTACCAAGGCTTCTTTTACCTTGGGATACTTGTCTTTGATGATAACCATCCGTTCGTCAGATTCTACTACAAGATCTGGGTCGTTCATGGAAGCTAGAAGCCCCTGGGACCAATGTGTCTTCTTGGCTGGCTGCAAAGTGGTGGTGTCAGAAGCTGCTCTCTTACTTGGTGTAGCAGCAGCCATCTTGCCTGGCCATAGTAACTCTGCCTCCTTCACCCCTTCCCTACCGTCAACTTCCCCCTCCCATCATCATATAACCCCCACCCCTCACCACCAGACAATCCCATCCCTCTCCCCAGAGGTCCCTTCCCAATCGTATTTCCCCACCAGACTCTTCTTTTCCTATTCCGCCACCGATCGAGGACCCTTCCCGCTTCTGTCGATCCCTTTCCATAACATCAGCCCTTAGCCTTCCCTCTTTAATATCTTTATTATGCATCCTATACCCATGGTGTAGGTGGAAGTCAAAAGATTACAAAGGCACATAATGCGTCCAGGGACTGGGCCCCAAAGTTTTGATAGTTAAACGAGTTACAGTGTTACTGAACTACATATGTAATAATGGTTGCAGTCATAATGAGTTATTTATGCGTTATTTACAGTGTGTAAAGTAAGGGTATTTTTCAAGAATTGTTGGTAATATACCAGTGGATAAAATATTTTAGACATTTCATGAACATTTCTGAGTTTACCTGGAAAAAGTTCCTGGAGTTTACCTTGAGAAAGTTCCGGGGGTCAACGCCCCCGCGGCCCGGTCTGTGACCAGGCCTCACGGTGGATCAGGGCCTGATCAACCAGGCTGTTACTTCTGGCTGCACGCAATCCAACGTACGAACCACAGCCCGGCTGGTCAGAAGTTGTCTGAATTAATAAATTTCATCGCATTCCAACGATAGATCGATACCATTCCTAACCCTTCTAGGGTAGGGTAGGTGCCTGAGCCCGAGCCTTTAGCTCATAAGACTGTCATTCCCATTAGCCCCCTTGGGGCGGGGATGGCAGACCAGAGAGGCCTAGCTTGTGGCTAGGCCTGGGGACAGTTAGTCCCAAAGATGAGGAGGTACTTGTGCCTCCTCCCATGGGAGACTTAGGTCTCAGACACTCCCTAAAGAGGGAGCCAAGGCCGGGCCACCACTTGGAAAAGGCCCGGGCCGGGAGAATACCGGTTAATCTTTAATAATAATAATCGCATTCCAACACAATGACTCAAGATATGACAATTGTTTACATTTAGTTTGATTTGACTTTTTGGGGGGTTATCCTAGGCAGTTTACACTATACTATAACAATATTACATCTTTATTTCTACATGTATAAGGTATACAGGCCTAGCTGACATCAATGGCATATTACTGTATAGAAAGCTGCTTGTTATGCAGAGCATTTCTGGCAAATTAGGTCAGTTTTGTCCCAGGATGCAACCCACACCAGTCGACTAACACCCAGGTACCCACTTTACTGATGGGCGAACATAGACAACCAATGTAAGAAAACACGCCCAATGTTTCTACTCTTTCCGGGAATCGAACCCGGACCCTCAATGAGGGAAGCGAGAGCTTTTGCCACCAGGCCACGGACAACCGTGATAATAGTACTTGTATATCTGTGTTTAAATAAACTTATTTAACTTCCCAGGGTTACTGGTAACCCAGCAGGAGCTAGCCGGTAGTGACATCTAATTATTATTATCAAAAAGAAGCGCTAAGCCACAAAGTGACATCTAAGAATCTGCTTATTTTGTTGGATGTACCATAGACACGGGGCTCCTCCCGCATGACAATGATGATAAGTGGACTGATCAGTGTCAGTCTCAGGTCAGTTGAAATTCTTTTCGTATTATTGTTCTCAAATTGTTATCTGACAGCCCAAGATTGTAATATCCTTCTTTGAAGGCATATGACATTGCCAGTTCATCAGTTCTATCATGCATCTGAAGACCAATGCGACATAGAATCCACAGGTGTACTATGACTCCACTGTCCACAATTTTACCACACCTGTGTCTATATTAGGAGAGAAGTAAATAATAAAAATGATTGTTATAGGAATGTAGTTTGAAGCCTGAGTAGATCTATAACCCACTATGATAACATGAACATAGATAAGTATGTCTATGGAGTAACGTGTAATGTGAACAAACTGACTGATGTTGTAGTGGCCAGGCTTAGGCTTGGTTACAAGTACTTCTGGCAGTTTGGGAGACACACAGATGATGATCAAACTAAATGTAAATTATGTGATCAGGCATATGGTCACTCTCTTGAACACTATGTGCTTAATTGTCCACTTATTGAGGAATACAGAGATAGACAATATAATAACCTATGTGACATGTCAAGATATCTTATTAATGAAAATAAGATACCGGATATACTAAGCAAATTTCCTAAATTTGCTTGTAACAGATAACTGAACTATAGATATGTAGATATAAATCTATATGTATTCCTGTTAACCCTTTGGGGCCTAGTTCCTAGGCCTTTTGTGTATCCATATGCTCTTGCGCTACCGTCCACAGGATGGATATGGGGTGCACAATAAACTAGCAACTTCGGTGGCAAAATCTAATGTGTCAAGCTTTTGACACAAGCATACCACAGTTGATACTTTGGGAGTTAAGAAAATTTACGGATGATTAAGAATAATTTACAATTAAAGTGTCAACATTACACAAATAACCCGCACATAAAAGAGAGAAGCTTACGACGACGTTTCGGTCCGACTTGGACCATTGACCATTGGACCATTGACAAAGTCAATGGTCCAAGTCGGACCGAAACGTCGTCGTAAGCTTCTCTCTTTTATGTGCGGGTTATTTGTGTATCGTTCCAGTCACGGTATTGTGCCTTTTTTGTTATCTAAAGTGTCAATCTTTTGTATGATACATTGACGCATCTGAGTGCGAGGAATATGGCAAGGGTAGAGGCCCAGTTTTTGATGTGTGCTCTAATTTCTTTATGAGAGCCATGACTCGGTATGACAACTGCAGCACTACCAGCTGCACCAGTTGATTGGCGAACACAGCCATTAACATACATAATTTGTGAAATAGTGTGTTGTGTGACTAAGGCATCAATACAGCTTCGGCATCCTGTTTAGCTTCAAAGCGAAGCTTTGACTGTGATTTAAGATTTTCTTTTTAGGGGGGTGAAGGAGGGATAGAGGTTTGGATCGGGGAAGTGTCGCTGTTGCCTTGATCATGTATCTGGTTCATGAGGAGGTCACTTCCAGTTTTTATGATCCATATGGAGGAGCGCTCACCGGTGCTGAAGAAAGTTTGGAGAGCTTTTGTACATGGGTTTGAATGGACTAGCCTGAGCATATTGACCCAATGAGGACATTTCTTTCAGTGACATGATCTCTGATGTTTGGGATATTAAGTTCTTACCCCACGTTTAGAATTTTGGCAGTACGTGAGCATCCTCATTGCTTCGTTCTGCAATTTTTCTGACCCTCTAAGCTTCCAGTTTGACACAAGAGCAAGTAGTGGCATGGCATAATCAGCATCTCTTGTACTCATTCATTTATTCTCATCTATGAATGGTGGCTTCTGTTACCGCCTCTCCGCTGGCCGCTACTGAGTCACTCTCCTTGCTATGTGAGCCTAATCATATACTATTCCTGAAGCTATGTATGGACCCTGCCTCTACTACTTCACTGCTTAAGTCGTTCCGCTTCCTGATTACTTTAAGGCTTCCTCTCAGTATTTTGTACGTCGTAATCAAATCACCCCTGGTCCTTCTGTCCTTCCCTTCCAGCACCATCCCCTCGAATCTCCCAGTCCCTAAAATTCCTATTGTAACCTGTTCTCCAGACATAATTAGCATTTATGCTCATGTATCAGTCACACCATTATATTCCGGCCACGCAATTATTATTGTATCCGAAATTGATAGTCCAGTTTAGATTACCATCTGTCCATATCGGCATATATTACATTTAGCACTTAGGCAATCTAAACCTTAGATATGCATTGTTAAATAAATTTAAGCCTTAATTATAAGGTATTGTAGAATGCCCGAAACGCTCTGTATAGTCAGTGGTTTTGTATTACGCTGTTAATCCATGCCACTTATTTTTGTAATCATTGTAAGCTTCTGTGGAAACAAGGATTTTATTCTCTCAATCTCTATCCCTCCAATCACTCCCTGCCCCCAACAAACTTAACACTTCTCCCTCCCCAATGAAAAGCAGGGGCGCCACGAGTACAGAGACAACACAATAAGTTATGTATGCCTCCCTGCATACATAAGGGGTATTACCAATAGACCCCTGGCTGTCTTCAAGAAGGCACTGGACAGGCACCTAAAGTCAGTACCTGACCAGCCGGGCTGGGGTTCGTACTTCAGTTTGCGTGCGACCAGCAGTAACAGCCTGGTTGATCAGACGGTCTCAGACTGGGCCGCGGGGGCGTTGACCCCCGAAACCCTCTCCAGGTATACTCCTTTCACTAGAACCGTTCCCACCAGTATCTCCACCGGTTCCAATCCTCCTTTCTCCTGATCCTCTCCCGGTACCTTTCCAACCAATTCGCCCCCTCCAGGTCTTTCACCTCCCAGCTCATTTCCTCGCAGGTTTCCCCAATCAGTATTTCCTTCCCGGTCCCTCAACACCGGCAACTAACCTCTAAATTTTTCCCACTGCTGTTCGAGTTCTTATTCTCTCAGTGTAGAATTTCTTTGGAAAGGGCAGGTTGCCTAAAACGTTATGGACATCTGTAGCCGAGAAGTTTAAAAATTACTGGAGTCTCTATTGGAGGTTTTTGATGCAACAAACAGTTTATTAATATTGACGCAATAGTTGTGTAGAACGAACTGAAACAATATGTCACTTTAGTTGTTTCGTGGCATACCTTGTTATGAATATTTAACACTATGTTAGAGCCATCTACAGGTATATGTCTATACCTCAGTGCTTTCTAGGATTGTTTTTGTATTCTTCGATTTTTGAGTAATAGTGCACTTTGTTCCTGTTGTTATAACTGCAGGTCTGGTATTATAACTGCAGGTCTGGTGTTATAACTGCATGTCTGGTGCTATAACTGCAGGTCTGATGCTATAACTGCAAGTCTAATGTTATAATTATAGATATTGTGTTTTACCTGGAGTACACCTGGAAGGTGTTTTTCGGGGGTCAACGTCCCTACAGCCCGGTCCATGACCAGGCTCTGCGGTGGCTCAGGGCCTGATCAACCAGGCTGTTACTGCTGGCCTCACGCAAGCCGACTACAAACCACAGCCCGGTT